CTTTTCAAACCAAATTCACCACTTTTCAAACCAAATTCACCACTCTTTTTAGACCGGGCAGTTCACCCACCAGATCACGCCAGACACCACTGCGAACCCTGCCTCGACGGTCACGCCTACTTGTCAGCGCGGACATAGATTTTCAACACATGGCCGACTCCGCCCAGTCTTCAAAGGGTTTGTTGCGAACTTCGAAATTTCATATCAACTTTTTAATTTCACATCCACTCTTTGCACAACGAAGATACTCGTACCCGCGCATTTATGCACTGGCAATCTGGCTCCGCCCCTTGGCCACGCCCACTTGCTTTTTGCGGAATTTTGATATTTTTTCAAAATTTTTGCATTTTTGGACTGCTCCACGAAGCCCCGCCCACTGAAAGAGGCTCCCACTTCGAAGAAGCTCCGCCCATTTCAAAAATGGTGCAGATCGGCAGTATAGAGCCTTGGCTTGCATGCTAGGGTCTCGTCCGTCACTCGGAACAAATTAATCAGGCAAAGTTTGTTCCGAGTGACGGACGAGGCCCTAGCATGCAAGCCAAGGCTCTATACTGCCGATCTGCACCATTTTTGAAAAGTGGGCGGGGCTTCTTCAAAGTGGGCGGAGCCTCTCTCAGTGGGCGGGGCTTCATGGAGCAGTCCAAAAATGCAAAAATTTTGAAAAAATATCAAAATTCCGCAAAAAGCAAGTGGGCGTGGCCAAGGGGGCGGAGCCTGAATTGCCGAAGCATGAATGCGCGGTTACGAGTATCTTCGCTGTGCAAAGAGTGGATGTGAAATTAAAAAGTTGAAAAAGTTATGAAATTTCGAAGTTCGCAACAAACCCTTTAAAGACTGGGCGGAGTCGGCCATGTGTTGAAAATCTATGTCCGCGCTGACAAGTAGGCGTGACCGTCGAGGCAGGTTCGCAGTGGTGTCTGGCGTGATCTGGTGGGTGAACTGCCCGGTCTAAAAAGAGTGGTGAATTTGGTTTGAAAAGTGGTGAATTTGCTTTGAAAAGTGGTGAATTTGCTTTGAAAAGTGGTGAATTTGCTTTGAAAAGTGGTGAATTTAAAGTGAAAATGGTATATACACATGTGGAAGGAGCTAAGCGCAGCCAAGCTGGGCCGTATCGTAGAAGGAGGCACGCCGGCGTCAGCCGGTGAGCCGGCTGGTAAACTCTATGACCCTCCGTAATGACGAAAATTGGGACTATTCAGTTTCAGAAACCTTTTAGCGACCATAGAGCAGCGTTCGGACTTAGCGACCGAAGCGCTACGTCGCGGAGACTGCCTAAGGTTAGAGTAGCGCTTGTCATTGATATTCGGAATCTCATAATGTGAAGTAGCATGAGTGAAAAACAGAAGCAAGTCAAAGGAGTGAACAAATACGCGTTCAGTAGTGCTAGGCAACAATAGATCGCCCTTCGTTGCTGAGTGAATTTCGAAGATTAATGCGGGGAAAGCCACTGCGATTCGATTACTCGTACACAATGTTTCAGCAACTAGAGGAAAGCAGAGTGCACCTTTGTCTATAGTCATATGTTCTTGAGAAATTCGACAGTTGAATTGCTTCTGCCAAACGAGGTTGTTAGATGAAGCCGGCGCAGTTCGGCGACGGGGGGGGGGGCATTTTGCACTTTTGCCACTTCCCATCGACGTGTCGAGCCATCGAGAGAGCCTTCTGAGAGTTGACAGGTTTTATCATGGTGGCTGGACGAGCTTGCTCCAGCTTAACAAGAGTTCACAGGTTTCACCAGAGTGGGACTGGTGAACCGGAACTAGAGAAGCAACGAAGAAAATACAAAATGCCAAAGTGCTCCCCCCCCCTCCTTCAAACAGTGCTAACGAAGCCTTCTATTGGCCTAACGTTCCGAACTTCTCTTCTTCTTCAGGGGCCTGGAAATGGCCAAAGCTTCTATAAATTTATTTATTTGTTTATTTGTTTGTTACCTACCCAAGTAAACACCTTCCCCATACTAGTGTTCACGGCACCGCCTGAACGCTTGTAAACGACCCTGGAATGGCTGCATACAAATTACAGAAGGTCCCACCGCGCGGAGCCCAGTTCATGCTGTGTGTCAGTAAAATTAGTAAGGACAGTCTCATCGTGCAGCATAAGTAAAATTTGTCCTAGCGCACGTAGCCCATACTGTAGCTCGCACTCTGAACAAGGATGAACAACCGAAAT